ACAAATTGAGACATTTCTGGAAATATTGGCTTTAAAAGTGAGAACACATAACTCACAGAAATACCAATCTCAAAAATGTTCAGATTACAGTTTAGAAACTCTGATGCGATTCCTTTTCCTGTCACAATAAGCCACAGGATGTAAGCATGTGTTGGGGGGGCAAATATGATATTGAAGCACAGACCGCAAGTCCTGAAAATGTTTAAGTGAAAGAAGTCAACTGATGTAACGTTGAGATGTGGATTCCCATCAGGAATGGAGGAGTTCTCAAATCCAGCCATCTTCTCAATGTGTCTCTATTCACATCCAAAGAGAAACAGAAATGGGTTTAAACTCTCCATTGCATTGATACAACTATATTAACAATAACTAAACAATATATACTACACAGTTAACTGAAAGTTTTTCACCTCTAGCGTGTCTTCTGTCCAGACGAAGGCAATGATCTGCCGATTTGCAGACTGAACACACAGCTGTCACTGGGATATACATGTTTAGCACGACGCTGCATGTGTGACATGCAAATTTGAGACATCACATTTCATCATATTAGATGACAGAACATTACACAAGGTGACACCTGAAAACAAATAATGCCAAGCTAACAATGTGATTTCAGCAACACAGGTCGCCTGAGACAATTTTGGTAAAATCCTTGGTTAGACATGTTCACTGATAACTGCTTTTAATGGCCGTTGCAATTCAATTTTCTTTCAAATGAAGTTCTGGCAGTGGCAGAAGATTTCAGACACTTTCTTGTAGTGGGATTTAAGCTATAACAAGAATGCAGAATCTGATAATGCAATCAGCACAAAAACTTCAAGCCACCACAGGGAAATGAGAAGTTAAAAACAGTGGAACGCTTATGTTGAGTGCCAGAAAATGTAACAAATACACACCGTGTCTGGAACTCTTTGTAGTTTTTTATCATGTCTATCTTGAACTTTCTTCCCCTTACTCACTTACAACTCTTGTTCTAGAGCTCTCTCTAGAGGCTTACTGAAGACACTACATGGCTCATTAATGGCATTCGGAAATATTTCAGTCCCCCATATTTTTTTTTTTTTAACATAAGTGGTTGTTGACTAAAATGACATTTTAAAAGCATTTTCATTGCATTTACTTTATACAATATAATGAATAAAAAATATATACATCAAAAGCATTTTTAGCATAAAAATATAATATTTCTGTCACAAACCAGGCTATTTGTCATGTCCCCCAGGTACTTTAAATTAATTGAATTTGTCATGTCCCTGATACTCTTCAAACTATATATATATATATATATATATATATATATATATATATATATATATATATATATATATATATATATATATATATATATATATATATATATATATATTTTTTTTTTCCCTCCAAAAAAAAAAAAAAAAACTAATTAAAATTAAAATTAAAGTGTCCCCTCAACCCTGTTACAGACTTCAACCCAGTCACTGTTTTCTCAACCCTGTGGAATTAACATTTTTAGAAAAATAAAAAAGGAAAACGATTAAATATAGAAAACATTCTTGCTGAGTACCAACCACCATGTTAAGGCCTAACATTGTAAATGTGTGGTTTGGGTAAGACATCTAAATTTAAAACCATTTTTTAAGAAAAATTGAGACCACAGAATGCATAAATTGTATAATTGTAACTTAAATCACATATAAATCTAAAACTTATCAAAAATGTGATTTATTTTAGCCATTAAACTGATTTGAGTGACATATGAGCAATAGGTAAATGTTGGTTTTATAGCAAAAGCTTTTTTTAAAATACTATTATTAACAACTCAGCTTTGTACATTACGGGGTTGAGAATAATGGGAGTAAAAATAAAAATAAAACAGAAAATAATATAAAGGCTTTAATGCCAGAGGTGGGAAAATGTTTTTTGAAAGTTTAAATATAATCAATACACTTTTAAAAATGAGTTTGCTCAAGCTTAAATATTACACTGCAAAAAATGCTTTTCTTAGATTTTTGTAGTGTTTCTAGTTCAAATATCAAAAAATTCTTATATCAAGAAGCATTTTCTAGACAAGCAAAATATATTGTCTTGTTTTCAGAAATAATATGCCAATATTTAGGGAGTTTTTCCTTAAAACAAGCTAAATAATCTGCCAATGGGGTAAGCAAATAAATCTTGTTTTTCCTTTTGACATAAGATTATTCTTCTTACTCCATTGGCAGAATATTTAGCTTGTTTTAAGGAAAAACTCACTTATATATTTAACAGCTGTGACAGTTTAGTAAAAGATAGTAGTTTATGTATAAACTTATACTTATAATCAGTTAAGATAATCAGTTTATAATTATATATATATATATATATATATATATATATATATATATATATATATATATATATATATATATATATATATATATAGTTTAAATGATTAACTAGTAGGATAATTTATTTTAAAGTGACATATTATTGTTTGCTTTTTATATTTTACAACAAAGTGATTTTAACCAAGTATGATTATATTAAGATCCTGAAATAATTCATTACACTTAATCCAACAATTAGACGGTCTATGTTTTCTGTTTATGTGGACACATTAATAAATTCAGAAGTGTATATAACCAATTATTTTTATTTACATAATTTGAGTTCAGAAACTGCAGAGATGTCAAAATGATCGTTAAGATATAAAAATAATAATGACTGAAATGAGAAACCATATTTGTGAAATTCAATAGGTGGCGATAATGCTAAAGATTTAGTTACCATATATGGTTTGCCTAAATCGTGTGTCCTAGATTGTGTGTGCCTAAAACGTGTGTGGTTTTGCGGGCCTGCAGCTGGACATTATTGGGATACGTCGACTCTGAAATCAGACGTTTTTGAGTTGTTTGTAGACATGAAGGCTTGATTATTGGATCATTAAGGCTTGATTAGTTTTATTGTCGCAGAATTAGATTAGCATTGTCATTGAAAAACTTTTAGCCTTAAACACATCGTTTACTCACTTCCCCAAAACATTTTGTACATCTTCATAAAACTATATGATGCAAGTCATTGTGAGGTTTCTTACCTATTTTATCTGCACACAGGTATCAACCTGCAATTAATCTGCCTTAAAATGTCTGAATTGTTCAAATAAACAAACTGAAGCCTATAGAGAACATGCCCAAATAACATTCACCACTTTGATGAATTTAAAACAAATAGCTTTTTGTGTCTTTTTGCTGTACATTCCACTTTGAAATAATTACAAAAAGAGAAAGAAGATAGCACGTATTTGGAATGAGCCAACATCACATATATTCTTAATTAATGCTGAAGTTCTTCACCTGTAGAGCGAACAGAAAACTGCAGTGATCGCAAGTGAATGCTTGCTGATGCTGATGCTTTGTAGATTGACTAACTTCTAACTAAGATAAACATGCTGGATATAGCATTAAACTGGACACAATAATAGATGCAAATATATAAGATCATACACCAAACTGGAAAAATCTGGGATGAGAATCTAGTAGGACTATAATCGTCTTAAATATCACTGGTTGTTTTTCTAATCTGACAAATTGGCCCCAAAATATTTACTTAATGTCTGAATGTTTTTTGTATTGCATGATTAAATATAAAACTAAATACTTTGAATTATACCATTTGTTTTATTGATGTTAAATCTTTCAGTTCATCTATCATGGTTGTAGTTTGTCCAATGGGAGTATTTGTTAAAGGCCACCTATGGTGAAAATCTACTTTTCAAGACGCATGGACAGACATGCGTGTAGGTATAGTGTATAGAGCGTCATATTGGGGTGATATAAACACACCCATTCCTTTTATTTTCAATTTAACAACATAAAAACGGTGGACCAATTGGAGCGTTTTTTAGACCGACCGCACCTTGACGTAGTAGTGCTGTCCCCCCGCCCACCAATATTGATTGACAGGCTCGAATCACCATATCCTCAGTTTGTTTCACATCCGCCATTTTCAGCATGTGAGTCAAAGCGATGTGACTAGAAGGAACACCCTTGTTATATTTTTAGATGCAAGGCTCATTGGGCTAAACACAAGATCAGCATTCACCACATGATCTCTGTAATCGGAATTATTGTTTGCAACTTAGTTTGTTTGTAGGAAGGTTTGGAAACATGTGTACTTTTCATTGCGTCTACCTTAAACTTCAGCCGTTTGCATTTCTCGCGGTCACAGAAGCTCCTTGTGATCTAAGTCTGAACTAGGTGCAGGTGGAAAGTGTGAGCGCGTTGCCTCATGCAAGTGTCTCTCCATTGGAAATAAAATAACAAACTTGCCTGCAGGTCGCACACCAGAAGCGCCACTCGCCGCCGCAACATGCATTTTAGAATTCTAAACAGGTTTCTATTAGGGCACACAAAACGAAGCTTCAAGTCGGTGGCTGTCGGCGGTGCGCAGCCACGATTCGGGACACTTTATATTTCTGCTGTGCCACAGAGCGCCATACGAAAAGTTTCATTTTAGTTTCATGTCGGGTGTTCCATATCGCGGCTCTAAACGGCGTATCTGGTGACTCAGTCAAAGTTAATTCAGTGTGCCTGGTTATTAGTCTCGGTGTACAAGCTCGGCACATTAAACTAGCACACAGTTGGCTGTGAAACTATACAAAGACCAAATGATTTTGTACTCTCTGCTTGGTCTGTGTCCAAGTCGTACATGTACAGCTGAATGCAGGTCCTCTCAATCATGTTGCTTCTCTCTGTCTGCTGCAAAACACAGAGCGGGGGAGCTCTTGGCTCCGCCCCCCTTGTTACGTAGGGCAGGAAATCGAAACTAATTTTCATTGAAGCAGCATGCCACTAAAACAGCGAGCTGTGTACAAGCCCCCAAAACAACACTTTTTAACCCACTGTAATAAAAAAATCTAAACTGTGCTTTGAACTGAACCTAAACTGGCACACTCAGAAGAACCATAATATTAATATTAAATCATAAAAAGGGGGAAATTATGTGCCCTTTAAATTCAAATCAAAACGTCAACTGTTTAAATGTTTTTATTAAAAGGCAACAAGAAAACCCACACAGCCAAGTCTGTTCACTGTCTTCCTTTACACAATGGTCCACACAGATCACGAAGCATAAATTAGTTCCAGTCCATTAAAAGTGGGAACTACTTGAACTTTCTCTTCTTCAAGAGTGAATCTCTTAATGCGATCTGAGGGAGACAAATCATGATGAGTAAAAACAACCAATCTACATAAAGCACACACATATTTATGGCACCTAAAAGCGTTAAAGGAGTGTAAACGGCTCACCTGTTTCTCTCTGAAGGAGCGTTTGCCTTTAGTTCTAACATTCTGACTGTGTCTCATCATCATGAAGTTCTTCTTCCGTTTCTTCTCCTTGTTACTGGTGCTGGCATACGGGTTTAGTTTACCTCTCTTTTTGGTAAACTCCTTCCTGTCAGTCCGTCCAGCCTGAGAAAAAAATATATAATAATAACAACAATTTTATACTGATATTTATGGCACTTTTTTTTCTATTTTGTAACAAAGACATCCATTAAAAACCTAGTTAGTTACTGAAAGATAGTTATGCGCATAGTCAAATCTTGCTACTAAAACTAATTAAATATATTTTAAATTGTAATTTATTCCAGTGTTGCAAAGCCGAATCTCACATTATCTTTAAAATAATTGTAATATACTGTTTTGATGTTGTTTTAAACAATTATTTACTATTATAATGGTTGAAAGTTCATATATTTGTGGAAAATAATGATACATTATAATTAAGACTATTGATGAGTTTAAAGTATTTAGTTGTAATGGGAATCATTTGGAAAATCACTTATGAAAAAAATCCATCCTGGCTAATTTTTTTTTTTTTTTTTTTCACTAACCCTAAACTTTAAAATCAGTTTATATAGTCATATGTAGAGAGCTATGAAAAAGGCTATGCACATTATTTAGATTTCTTTCTTTGGATTTTAAATATAGTTGTATGTTTGAATAAAACTATTATTCTTTATACAACTGATGAGATTCAAATAAAAATATTTTCATTTTAGAGCATTTTGTATAAAATGACAAATTGTCAAAATAACAAAAGATTATGTCTTCAGATATTTTAGATATAGAGGTAAAGTATCTTGTGGAACTTTGAGTATGGTAATTAATGTCACATAAAATGGTATTTAAACTCATAGTGCTAACATTTACCACTGAATAGCATAATACCACTGAAGCACATAATCAGTACCTGAGGTTTATGTTCATTTTAGACAATACAATATCTGTGTTAACTTAATATTTGTTGGAATAACATCAATCAAATAAAAGAAAACAATCTATGTATGTGATCTATCTATCTATCTATCTATCTATCTATCTATCTATCTATCTATCTATCTATCTGAAAAAAAAGAATGTAATATTTGCATATATTATTCACACTCACCATGGCAGTTGCCAATCGTGTTTCTTTGTCAGATTTGGGTTTCTTGTGAAGGCGCTCAATATCTCTTAGACTAAGTAACTCTCCTCTGAAAAAACAAAAGCACAATACTTTATGGATTTGATTATTCTCAGTTTGAAGATTATTGCCATATATCTCCAAAAACAGTTTGAGTGAAGCACCATTTATTCCTCAAACCCAACTTGCCTCTCTTCTTCATCGCTGTCTACGTTCTTCCTCTTCTGACCTTTCCCGGGCGCATTGCCCACCTCTTTTGCCATCTGAGCCACGCGGATCTTCTTAAAGTCATCCTGCGTAAGGAGTCGACTAGTGCTCACCATGGCAGCTTTAGCTTTGCGCTCTTCCTCCGGGATGCTCTGTAATTTCTCAGCCTGATGAACACAAATTAAAGCACAGGTTGAAATGTATATAATTTCTCATCATTACTATCAAATAATGCATTCAATTCCACAAAGTCGGATCTTTTGTTACCAAACAAACGACCCAACACTATTCCAGCAACTTTAAATGTAGTACCAACTCGGACTAAAGCCGCCTTTCCACTGCACACGACATTTGGACACGACTGTCAGAATACGCCCCCTTGTGGCAGTCGCACAGAATTTTCAGTTCTGACTTGCACCATTGAAGAAGCTGTTCACGCAGTGTCCGAAATAATGGAGTGCAAAAGCAAGAGCCATTATTCTCTGTGTGTTCACCATGGTTGAATGAATGAATGAATGAATACTAGAAACTCATAGATCGCAAATAAATATTGGAGGAAATGTGGAGACAAGATATTGCTTTAATTTATTAATGTATATTACTTTAATTTATAATATAGACATTTTCTGATTCAAAAAAATAACCAAAAAACTACCATTTCTCATCTCGCGCACACGGACCTGCTTGGACAACACTGAAATACATCACATCTGGTCGGCCGGTCGCATAAGGTCTAGTCGCAGGAGTTCAAATATTTCATTTTTTCGGATCCAAATTTTCCGCATACGAAGATGATGGAAACTCCACGCAGCTCCCGGACTCTTCTCCGTTGGAAATGAATGACTTCCGGTCTGTCGCTTGTCGTTTGTGGTGGAAAGGAGGCTTAAGGTTGTCATGATATTTGCAATTCGGTACCAATTAGTAGTGAAATGTTAAAAATGACATGAAATAACAATTTCCCGCGAACATTTGAGCACTGTAGAGCACGTTCCTAAACACAGCTGATTTGCCATTGTGTTGAGCATGTGAACACAATGGCAAATCAGCGCTGTTTAAGAACATGCCCAACAGCGCTCAAATGTTCACAGGAAACGGTCATTTTTAACATCTCAGTATCGTTTAGTACCAAATTATATTATCATGACAACCCTAACTCAGGCTGTACCCAATTTTTTAGAGACATGCATCCTTTACATTTTTGGTTTAGTGACTCAATCCATTAGATTATTTACTATATGAAACAATTAACATTCACAAAAATTACACTGCTCACAAATAAGACCAAAAATGCAAATGTTTCACCTTGAAGGTTTTTTTTTCTGTGAGTGATTTTTTTTTTTAAATGTTGTTTAAGGCTTCATACAGAGTTTTTACACCATTTCTGAAACTAAATTTAAGCAATTTTCAACAATTTCCAGGTCTGTATTTAACTGTAGTAAATTACATATCTACATACATTATTGTACTTCTTCATTACATTACATTAGATGCAATTTGTTAAAATATCCTATGAAATAGTATTCTAGGGAATTATTTTGATCTTTGCCCAAGTCCGTAATCAACATTGAAATACTGTAATTTATTCTTAAATCTCATTTACTTAAATGCGTCTTTCATCTTAAATTTTGCAGATATTTATTTTCATAAACTCCAAAGAAATATTTACCAATATTGTGTTTAAATAGGAAGCTATTTAGTATAATTAATTATTAATAATAAAACAGCTCACCTGCATTTAAGCAGTTTCAAGCACTGTATCCAAAATCTAAGCACTTTTCAAAGCTTGAACACACTACATTAAATTTCAAGCATTTTCCACATCCCTACAATCCCTGTTCATATAGATCCATGTGATAAATCACATCAGTAAATGATAAAATCCTCACCACTTCTGCCTGGTCTTCATCAGAAGAGTGATGCACATTCACCCATTCTCCATCTTCATCATCATCACTCATGCTGGCGCTCTCCCATCCATCTGTGAGGAAGAGGACATCAGTTAGATGGCCTCCTGAGAAATAGGAGCTAATGCTAATAAACTAATCCAGCTTAAGTACCTTCATCTTCCTCATCCTCCGCTTTCTCTGCTTCCAGCACTTCAGCTCCAGGAATGTAGTCTTTAGCCTCCAGTTCTCCATATTTGTGGATTTTCGCCTCTTTAGAGGATTCTGTGGGTCTTCCCTGGACATGAAATAAAATGAAAATGAACAAGTTTTAAAATGTAGTTTTGAACAAGTCCCTTTTGCTCATCAAGGCTGTATTTGTTTCAGCTTAATAGTCAAAACAGTCCAATTTAATTACAAAAAACGTACGTATTTTCACATTTATTTCATGCCATTATTTAAAGCTGAAATTTAGTCTAAAACAATGATTTGTAAAGGCATAAATGTCTACACTCACTTTTGATCTAAATATTATTTAATTAGAGCAAGACTTTTCCAAACTAATCTAAAAAAATAAAAAGTGTACAATTTAAATGACCAGCTGAACTCTTTAAGTTTAATTTGTATATTTATTATTATTATTATTATTATTACTACTACTACTACAATTATTATTTGTCTTTCAGGGTTCATACACATTTTTACTACTAAAATTCCATTACTTTTCCAGAATTTTCAAGTACATTTTGATGACAATGTTTCATGTAGTCTACATATATATGGTAAATAAGCAAAAACAATGATGTTCAAATTTATTACAGCATATCATAAAACACACAACAATATATTTTGTTTAAATTTAAATTTATTTCTATGTAAAATTGATTTTGATAATGCTTACACAGCACTAACAATGAGAGAACAGATTTTTGGCCAAAGACAGAAAAGTAAAGACAACTATATTCAAGTTAGGGCAGCACAATATATGGTTTCAGCATCGTTATCGCAATGTGTGCATCCACAATAGTTACACCGCAGGATATGCAATGTCGGGATTATATTTTAATATAGAGTTTACTCATAATGGACTAAAAGTGTATCATCTGCATACATTTTAAAGAGATCATTTTAAAGAGTTTACCCAAAAATTATTTACCATTTTTATTACACCCTTCACTTGTTTCAAACATTTGAGTTTTCTTTTTCTTAATGAACACAAAAAGAATATAAATTTAATAACTCCTATAGTATTGAAACAAGTAAAGTGTGAGTAAATAGTAAGTACATTTTACTCTTTGAGTAAACTCTCGCTTTAAAGCCTGTGACTGTGTGAATATTTCAATATTTCACATTTTAAAACATCCGGCCACAATAATTTTTTTGTAACTTTTATAGAGATTTAGATACAATGAAGACTATGCAGTGTTGATGATTCAATATCTGTGCCTGAAGAGTGAATACCTGAAAACTATAATTCACTTAAATCTTTACTATATATATATTTTTTTTTTGTCTATGCTTGTAATTTATTTGTTATGTATTATTTGAGATTCACTCACCTACAAAATCCACCCAATCAATCCAAATAAACCTGTTAATCAAATACTGTAATGTCACATTATTCCAATATCGCGCAGCCCTAATTCAAGTATACAGATATTTGTTAAACTAATTTCCATGACATTTCCAAAACTTTGTGGGTTTTTCGGTTTTTCCAAAACTTTTCCAGGCCTGGAAAATGTCAGGTTAAAATTCCATGACTTTTCCAGGTTTTTCATGACCGCATGAACCCTGATCTTTTCTCTGTTGGAAAGTGTCTACATGAGTTTTTATACACTTAATTATTTTTTTATGTTTCCCTTTTTTATGTATGTATTTATTTCTTTTATTATTATCATTATGTCTCTCCAAACAGCAGTAATTTCAGACTGAAGTAACTGACAGCTAGAAAACTATTGTATCTTCTATTCTGGGTAAGGGCTGTGGGGTTTGTGAATGTGTATACTTAAAAATCAATAACAAATATAATAAAATAAAACTAGCATGACTAACTGACAATATAGCAAATCCATAAACATATTTCAGGGAAATATCAGAAACTGTAAAACAAGAAAATTGTTAATTTATTGAAATACTACTATGTTTTTGTATATTTGAGGTCAAAGGAGACCATGGTTAGAAATCCTTAATATAGACTGAATAGATTTTGAGAATGATTTGATCAATTTTAATATGATATAAAACTGCAAACACTTCTCACCCTGTCTTTTCTGGTTAGCATCTTTGGATTGAGGTCTCTGAAGAGCTGGATAAGACCCCTAGCAGACATCACAACATCTGGAAGACAACAAGTCAAACAATACATTCAACAGTCTACTATAAAAAGTTGCATCTGATATAAAGATTATGATAAATAATGATCCACTTCATACTTTTATCTTTGTGGGATTTGTACTGTGTGAGATCCTGAAGCAGATCTTCTGACATAGAAAGAGGACAACGGGCAACCACTTCCTTTATGGCGTTGATTCTGAGATATAAGTGGGGGGGGGATGCATTATTACTTTGTATTAGACATTTAAACCTTATTGTATGTTACTCATATTTACATAGCACATACCCAACTGTCATGACCTCCCCTGAATTTCTGTCTGTAACAAAGTTATTGGCAATGGTCATGATGACTGGCTCAATGATCTGTAAATATAACAAGAAGTTAGCACACTCTATTTGTAGATCCCCATGTTCGAAGCTGCATTTATTTGACCAAAAATGTAATAGACACATTAATATTCTTAAATATCGCTATAATTTCACACAAACATTTTCAATTTGATTGCGTTTTATCAAGAATTCAGTCCATAATCCTTCAGAAATATTTCTATTATGCTGATTTGGTGCTCAAAGACGTCTACTCATAAATGCAGAAAATGGCTGTACAGCTTAATATTTTAGTTTTTTTTTTTTTTTTTTTTTAGTTCGAAAACCAATATTTATTTAAAATAGAAAATAATAACTGTAATTATAAATGTCTTTACTGACTTTTGAACAATTGAATGTGTCCTTGATGAATAAAAGTAAAATAACTTTTATGATTTTACTATAAAAGGGTACTTTTAGTATGCTTTCTTATATGGTATCTCTGGTGATCACAGAATGTGTCTAATGTTTAAAATATTTATTACACCTTGCTGTAAATAATCTTTTAAGAGTAAAAAAAATATATAATATTTGTGTGTTAAATGCAAATAAGCTCCTGGTCCCCGTAGTAAAGGTGTATTTTTACATTGAGTACATGTGAGGCTAGAGCTGTAAAGGCACTGACAATAACAAATAAACCATCTACATGTGTTATAAAGCCTTTTCATGCTCAAACAGTAATGTTACACAGTAAAAAGCTAAATTTAATTTGTGAAAAGCATAAGACGACCCCTAATGGCCTGTTTCCACTGAGTGGTAAAGTACGGTAGGCTTTTATGGTCGTTTCCACTGTCAAAATATACCTAAAATGGCCTGTTTCCACTGAGTGGTATGGTAAGGTACGGTTTGGTTTGGTTCAGTACGCTTTTATGGCCGTTTCCACTGTCAAAAGGCATACAGAACCGTACCACACCACTTTTTGGTCACCCTTTGCAAAGGGTACTAAGGGTACCAAAAACCGGAACTAGAGGCGCAGCTGAACGCTATTGGTTTACAGAGAAAACAAAGGAACCGCCATGTTTAAAATACACAGCAGAGACATTACACTGTAATAACATATACATATAATAACTAGACATGGTCGACCCAAGCTCAAACAAACCTTGACGTCGTCTTTATGAACAGCCACAAAGCCAAGAAGAAAAGCAGAATCTGCCCTGTCCCAGTAGTTTTTTTTACAAGGCAATCTAAAAGTGTGAGCGGTTTCACTTTCTCGCCTGCACTCGCCGCGTGTCTATATTTGAAATAACAAACTTATCTAAGTGCTTCTGTCACTCGATCCCTTCAGAAACAGACAAACGTGACGCCTGTTTCACACCGCAAGCGTCAGCGGCGCGTGAGCAGAGCGTGAGCAGCGCGTATGTCGAGCAGTAGCAGCACGCAGGCGTTTGCCTTTCACACCAGCTGCGTCTGCAGCGCGCAGCTCTTCGGCAGCTGCTGCTGAGATCAACCTATCTCTGTCTATTCTATCTAGTTACCCCTCTATATACAAATACACTTTTTAAACTTTTCATCTGTACCAAGGCCCCTGCTGTTTCATTAACCTGCAAATGTTTATTTTACAAATTTTATAGATCAAATAGTACTGTATGCTTCTAAAGCTAACTTATATGAGAATTGTCTACAGTCAGAAGACAATCGCCTGTGATATCATGTCATTTGTTTTTTGATTATCAGGTTGCTGTAGACCTAGTTATTATCATATTTATACAATATAGTTATAATGATATTTATACTTGATCAAACTAGTGTTAATTTCTCCGCTTTAGTGATGTCCAGCGGCAGAATAACAGCTCGTTAATTCATGCTCGTGCAGATGATGAGACGGACAAAAGTAATTAATGCATGCCATTCTTTTACTTATTTTCGTGTTGTCAGATTCACAGTGCAAACAGCTCCCGGTAGGAATAATTCGAGTGAACATAAAACAAAGCCGATTAAAACTTTCTTGCTCTGCTAGCTGCACAGAACACAGCGAGCTCACATAATCCAGCATGCGTGTCGCACTACACTACCCACAATACACTTCGCTATGGACTACAAATCCCGTAAATATTCCATTTCCCCTCTCCTACAACACTAGTGTGCAACTTAAGCAAAACTGATAGTAAAATAGTTTTACATTTGGTTTTGTAGTTCGGGCCTAAATAAATGTTTGTTGCCGTTTTTAATCGTTTTAAGTTCATTTGAATGACTATATATAAACCATTTGACATTATTAACGTATTTATTGGGTAAAATTGTTAGTTTTTACTGTCATTCAATGTGTTTTGGTCATTCTCAATGCACTGTCACTTTAATTGAGCGTGAGCAGCGCGTCAAAAATAGACCCAGCGCCGAAACTATCGCTGCACTGCTGCTTCGGCGACGCTCACGTCTCGCTCTGACGCGCTGCTGCTGCGTGCGGTATGAAAGCTCTAATCTGTTAACATGGACGCCGAAAACACACGCGCTGCTCACGCTCTGCTCACGCGCCGCTGACGCTTGCGGTGTGAAACAGGCGTGATAGTGAAGCACAAAAAAAACAAAAAAAAACAAAGAACCAAATTATTTTTTCAGCAAACATGAACAAACTGCCATGTTTAACTATTATCCTTTTTGGACTACTATGAATCCAGAGTGACGAATTACTCTCTAACAATATGTTAACGTTACAAATGTGCTGGCAAAGACTACAGACACAGAGGAGAGGTTTGCACTGACTGTAGGCTATATGTTTTGTGTTGTTTTTGAAGCCAAATAAGGACAAAAAGTATGCTGTGTGTAGTTTTTCTGTAATTGATAACTTATTGGAGACTGCAAGGGTCTGTTTGTGTTCATATATATACCATTGGTACCCATTTAGCAATGAAAGCACAAGCCCGTACCCACCCGTACCGTACTGTACCACTCAGTGGAAACGGGCCATTAAATTATACTTAAAAAGGACCAAATTTGAAAAATGCACTTTTATAAGGGGTTTAAACACATTTTTGTGGCTACATAGTGTGAATTTATCCAGCCTCTAATGGTAACAAGTAAATTTTTTATAATCGCACTTCATAAAAACAGCCTGCAGAAACACTTTAATTGACATTCTCCCTTTGTACATGTCATTAGAGGGGGAAAGCCCCACCCATTAGTGACAATCAGGGCAATAGACAGCCCTGAGTGAGAAGCAGCCAAGGAGTTTTTACACTGTACTTGCTGAAGATAATGTCAGCGACTAAGAGGCATTATAAATGTGGAGTTTTAGGATCCTTTTGATGAGGTCAGGGAGATCAATCTCATTAAAATTAAACGAAACAGTGACCAAAACAACACATTTTGGATTAAAGCTTAAAAGGAGCAGTTTCAAATAGTTAAAAAAAACAATTATTTGTGGGGTATTTTAAACTGAAACTTCACATACACACTCTAGGGACTTATTTTACATCTTGTAAAAGAGGACATAATAGGTCCCTTTTAAGTGCGACCAAATCAAGTTTATTTACCTCAGGCGGGACAAGCTGATGGGATGACTGGGCGGCACACAACAAAATTTTTGTGACCTCTGAATGAAAAAATAAATAAGACAAACCAACATGGGTTTTAGACACAGATGAACACACACATGAATTATACATTATCATTGCAGGTATTCTCTACAGACAACAGTGTGTTTACCTCTCTGGTGAGGCTGAAGGAAACGCTGGACAAACGGATAGAAGTTAAAGAGGAAAAGCTGTAAAATAAAAAATATACAAAAGTTACAAATTATTCATACAATCAAATCTAATGAATCACACAATCAAATGAATCACTCACTAAAATCAAACTAATTGTTCAATCAAACACATACCTCATGAATTCCCACAAGTCTAGAGATGAGCTCCATCATCATGATCTTCACCTCAAAACGCTCGTTTGAGCTCTCCAGCTGCTTCAGGAGCTTCTCTGAAAAATCTGAACAACAAATAATATTATTCATGTATTTAGAGTGTTTAGTTTAAGCTTTTATGGAGTAATTCATGGTGACAGTGTATAGATTAATCCTTATGTGCTCTTACCTTGTGGATCATGGATCAAGTGTATGGCAGAGAAATTAAAGACCTCCACTTTTTTTTTCTTTTTGTGTTTCTAAAAATTCAAAATGTAAACAGAGTTTAATAATGTAATTATCAACACAGAAGATGGATTTTCTGAACACGAAGCTCCCGAATTAACCTTCAGGACTTTCATAGCTTTCTCCAGTTTCTTCTTGTTCTTGGAGGTTTTCTTTCCAGTTGAGTATCGCATCATTAGATCTCTGGCTGTTGAACCCTCGTCCTGCAGTGGAAAATATTCAATAATGTTGAAAAATATTTTAATTGGGTAATATTTTAAAGTTTGGAGTTTGTACATTTTATGCAAATGCCATGCTATACTAGTGCATTTTCTTTTTAAAATGGTCTTAGTCCACACTGTGCGGCTTAAAATTAATAATACATGACTATTCACGCTCACGGAGTATGAGTTTATTGAGATAATTATGGTCAGGGTTGCGCAAAAATATATTAAAACGTATTTTAATAAAATACCAAATACCTGAAGTTTAAGTGTATCAAAATAATGTATAAAATGCAGCAGCCACAAAATGTATCAAAATAAAAGTTTTGTATTTTAAAAATACCACAAAACACTTTTAAAAATTAGCAAGACGTTTCTTTAAAAATCTTTCATTAATAGGCCAATACAATCAGTCTCTTCATCATTAAACTGACTCTTCAATACTCAATGTAAAAACAAGATTTCTGAAAACTTAAAAAAAAAATTGTTTTTGCAAATAAACTCTTTACATACTATATCCTGCTCCTGCTGTATAACCTGTCAGGAGTTTTATAATTAATAAATATGTTTCATATGCTGTGTCACTTTGACATCTTAAGGCATACATCGCTCCTCCTCATTTACTATACAGTGCAAATATAACTGCTGTTAAACTACAGCCATTTCAGACAGCCAATAAAATATTACAAAATACTCTTTTGTATTTAAAATACTTTTTTGAAATACATGCATCATAAATACTGTCTATCCCTGCTTAGTCTACCAGTTTGTGTAATGGTTATATGAGAGGCTTGACGAAGCAGGGATAAGCAATACAGCAATAAGAGATAGACTGTGGATGGCAGTGCCTCAGTTTTCAAAAGTTTGCATTTGTGTTCATCTATGCTGAAATAGAATACCAGCTTTGTTTTTGTGGGTTGAGGATGCCAGAGTAGTGTGTATACCAGGTATAACAACAACACTTAAAAATTCAAATACACTCGTGCAGGGATATCAAACTCAATTCCTGGAGGGCCGCAGCCCTGCACAGTTTAGTTCCAACCCTAATTAAACACACCTGATTAAACTAATTGAGTCCTTCAGGCTTTATTTGAAACCTACCAGTAAGTGTGTTGGAGCAGGGTTGGAACTAAACTGTGCAGGACTGCGACCCTCCAGCAATTAAGTTTGACATCCCTGCACTAGTGTAAGGGCGCATTCACACTATGCTATCTGAACCAAACCCAGGCCCGTTTCCCAGATCGTTTACGAAGTCTAAGTGCTCTGAATTAGGCTCAGGTGAGTGCAGATCAGTTGGCCAGCCCTGGTCTGGTTGGAAAAGGTGTGCCAAAGCGCAGTTCACTTGGGCTCAAACTGAAGATGAGACATGACTTTTACGGGAATGCTTCATATGGATTTATTAATCATTCTTATTGTACAATGAACGCAAACAGTTGTAGAATATTAAAGACGCAAATCCCTCACTGCACAATAGCTGCACGACTAAAACGATACAACGGTATAAAGAAATAAGGAAATCTCTACTGTGCTGAGTGAGAGCGCTAAACTGAACAGTGCATCATTGATGACATAAGCGTCGTGCTCAGGCTCGGATGCAATGTGAGTGTGAGCCGTCAAGGGAGAGGGGAGGCGGGACAAGTGTGCTTCGGCAGGTTCAAGGCAACTGTACATAGTGCGAGTACACCCTAAATGTCACCTTATGCTCAACAAGGCTGGAATTATTTGTTAAAAAAAATTGAGAACTGTTATAATTTAAAATTACTTTTTTGCGTTTTGCATTTTTCAATCAATACCATTCAGTAAATATTACTTCTGTCCTCAGAATCATATAGCTTTTAATAAATCATATAATTTGCTAATTTTCACTGCACTCTATGCAATAATTAACATTCAGGTTAATTATTATAATAAGTTCTAAAAACTGTTGTGCTCCTTAACTTTTTTTACTGTGGAAACTATTCTTAAACAGAACATGTTTAAAATTGCTTGTAAAGAGAAAAAAAAGTATCATGAAGTATAATCTGCACTTATTGTACCTCAGATTCTGAATCATCGTCTTTCTTTTCATCTTCATCTTTTCCCAGGAAGAACTTCAGTCCAGCTACAAGGATCTGAACGAAGATCAGATTTTTTGAAACATGTTAGGAAAAGATCTTTTGATCTTGAAAATTAGATTAGTGAACAAAGACGTAACAGTGCAATATTTAATTGAAATTCTAACCAATATAATATGAGAGCAAAAAATGTTTAATTATTAGAGATTGAACCTATTTTATTAAAAGTCAAATGGCAAAAAGTCCAACCTTTGTGACTTTGGAGAAACACGCTGTGGTGATGACGTTCACAGTTTTAGCATCATTCCTGATTATTGATGTGAAAATAGAAAACTGTGAAGCAGAACATAAATAAAGGCATCCTATTATAGTCGTTACTGCTGAAGGACTCACCAGATGTTTCTTCTGTAAAGCTCAACCATCACATCTAGAGAGATTTTGGCAGCAATGGGGTTTGAATCCCTCAGCATGGTGTACATGAAGTTCTGCAAAGTCTGAGGGCAAACACAAAAGCGAGTCAGTTTCATGCAGTACATAAAGAACATGTCAGTGTCATATTTCAGCCCAAAACCAAACCAAAATAAATGAATAATGCCAATTTAGAGGGGAAATTGTTCTTAAAATGTATTTTTTGCCCCAAAGTAAAGTCAAAAAACACTTTCACCTAGGGTTAAATACTTAACATATTTGAAGGAATATTTTAGCTTAGCTTAAACTATTGAATCAGATTGGACCATTAGCATTTCACTCAAAATATAAAACAAGGGTTTTGATCATTTTCCTATTAAAATCTTGACTCTTCTGTAGTTACATCATGTACTAAGACCCGATGGAAAATGAAAAGTAACTTTTTTTTAGGGCAACAGGGCCTGACATTATGCGCTCATTGCGGTGTATTAAACAAGATACTTTGCTGCTGTATCATGGCTGCAGCAGATGCAATAATATTGTGTAGTGCTGTCACCTAGCTGGGGACTATTTTCAGGCACTACGTAATATAACTTCGCCTGCTACAGCCATGGTACAGCAGCAACGTTCCTTGATTATTGAGCCAGAATTGAACTTTTTGAGTGATATGCTAATGGTCTAATCCGATTCAATTATTTAAGCTAAGCTAAAAGTGATCATGCCAGACCTGGAGGTCAGATGAATGGATTCAAAAATTGTAAAAAAATAAATAAAATAAAAAAAGAACATGTTAGCATCATATTTCACCCCAAAATCAAACCAAAACATTAAGTGAATAATCAAATATCGTCAATTTGGTAGGGTGTTATATAGTCAAATTGGAAGGTATATTGTTCTCAACTGTGACTTTTACCAATAAAAATGCTAAATATCTAGTTGACTTGTGAAATTAGATTATTTCCAATATAAGTGGTGTGTTCCTTTAAGAGTCTGAAGTTCTTCAATTGTGTTACTTAATAAAAAAAAAATGAATGCACTCAAGTCTTACCGTGTTCATTTTGTTGTTTTTGTGCTTTGCGTTAATGTTTTTGATATCCGTCACAATATGGGTATATAAAGTCTGAGAAGACAGAAGACATTTCTCTTAACAGCAAACTCTGCAATCATTTGTAATGTGTAAACAGAAGAAAAAACACCAACCTTTCTCAGAAGTTTGTCGTGACAGCGCAGCAGCTCGAAGAAAAGCCCCAGGAGACTGGTGGGACTGACCAGATCTTTGTTCCTCAGCATGATCAGAGCTTTGCAAAACGTCTGAAAAAGATTATGCCACAGTTACGCTCCATTCACACGGGGCGTCAGCGTCAAAGTTTCCCATTCACTTTGAATAGGTGACGTCTGGCGTTGCCAAACAGCATTGTGGACCCGTCGGCGCCGCTTTAGAGGCGTTGCTCGCTGCAAAAGTTGGGACTTGCTCAACTTTTCCAGTGGCGACAGAAGCGTCAGCCAATCAGATCGCTGTATGCAAATACACCAGCTCAGACTGTGGCCTATTGCTGACTAATTTCATTGGCTAATGCTGCTATAACGATCGCGTCAGCCCCAACTTCAGACACGCCCTCTGTCAAGCGTTGACGCTGAAGCCCCGTGTAGGGCGTTATGATTTAGAAAATGCATCTTCAAAAGTTAAAATGTCTATTGTCAAAGCTGTTTAAGAGGTCTTCTATAACTGGTTTATATCCAAACAAAAATGCAATATAAATACATGTATATATTTGAGAAAATGTTTGTTTATATTAATATATTAAATATTTATGAATGAAAAATATTCAAATATTTAATTTATTTAAAATGTTTAATTACATCTAGTTTCATGTAAATACTTTTTTTTTGTTTTTTGCATTTTATATACACAAACATTATGTAAATACAAACTTTTAGTTTGGAATTGGTTAATCATGAGTAATCGTTTAACCACTCAACATATAAGGCAGCTTCATTGGCTTCAAGAATCTGGTCACTCTAAACCCCAATTTAACATCCTTTCAACCTTATTTATAGGGTATTTTGTACTTTGCAACTTTGAATTTTTTTTTACATGATCACACAGCTATATTAAATACATGCTACATTAAAGGTAATCTTAAAACACACACTCACATGGAGACAGAATATTGACAATTTAACAATAGTTCCAAGCAGCCCCATTAAGATAATAAGAATATTGTAAGTTCAGTCAAAAAAAACAAATGTCATTATACCATTCTGAGATCAGACTCCAGCACTGTATGATAATTTAAAAGCAGATCCGTCAGCTGCTGGGGGAAATCTGACAGCTCCTCTAAATAACAGTGTCCAACCTGGAGGAAAAAAATCAGTCAATAACAGTAAAACAGTCTAAACCATAACAAATCTAATGTGATTCATTACATAAACAGAATATATGTGTACTCATTGATTGAGGTAAAGTTGGTTTTATATTAACACATTCAGACTTTCTCCATAATACAATTTCAGAAAAGTATTCTTTGCTAATTCTAACTAGAGAAATCATATTAGCAGCCAATGACTAACAAGGTACACCATTGTAGTCATTTACACTCACCGGCCTCTTTATTAGGTACACCTTACTGGTTCTGGGTTGGACCCCCTTTTACCTTTAGAACTGCCTTAATCCTTTTGTGGCATAGATTCAACAAGGTACTGGAAATATTACTCAGAGATTTTGGTCTATATTGACATGATAGCATCACACAGTTTCTGTAGATTTGTCAGCTGCACATCCATGATGCAAATGAGTACAGTGAACTTATTGTCATGTTCAAAAAAACAGTCTGAGATGATTCACGCTTTTTGACATGGTGCGTTATTCTGCTGGAAGTAGTCGTCAGAAGGGTACACTGTGATCATAAAGGGATGGACATGGTCAGCAACAATACTCATGTAGGCTGTGGTGATGACAAGATGCTCAATTGGTACTAATGGACCCAAAGTGTGCCAAGAAAAATCCCCACACACCATTACACCCCCACCACCAGCCGGAACCGTTGATACAAGGCAGGATGGATTTATGCTTTCATGTTTTTGAAGCCAAATTCTGGCCCTACAATCTGAATCGAGAATCATCAGACCAGACAACATTTTCTAATCTTCTATTGTCCAATTTTGGTGAGCCTGTGTAAATTGTAGCCTTAGTTTCCTGTAGACAGGAGTGGCACCCGGTGTGGTCGTCTGCTGCTGTAACCCACCCGCCTCAAGGTTAGACGTGTTGTGCATTCAGAGATGCTCTTCTGCATACCTTGATTGTGATGAGTGGTTATTTGAGTTACTGTTGCCTTTCTATAAACTGGAACCAGTCTAGCCATTCTCCTCTGACCTCTGGCATTCTCTGTAAACCCTAGAGATGGTTGTGCTTGAAATCCCAGTAGATCAGCAGTTTCTGAAATACTCCGACTAACTCGTATGGCGCCAACAACCATGCCACATTCAGTCACTTAAATCATCTTCCCCATTCTCGGTTTGAACTGCAGCAGATCGTCTTGACCATGTCTACATGCCTAAATGCATTAAGTTGCTGCCCTTTAATCGGCTGATTAGAACGAGAAGTTAGACAGGTGTACCTAAAAAAGTGGCCAGTAAGTGTAATTAGTGTAAATGCTGTTTTCAAGTCACACTAACATGACATTTCAGACCGAATAGTCAAAGTAGCATAGTAAACAATACAGGAAGCGTGTCAAGTTGTCACTGAACGAATGTGTAAATAAAAAACAAACTTTAGCTCTATTATAAAAACACACACACCATACCTGAGCCAGAAACATGACCAGCTCGGACAGGTCTTTGTTGGCTTTATCCGGCTGGTGTTTAAAGATCTCCACATTTGACTGATAATGACGATACTGCTGCAAAAACTGCAACGACAACATATTAACCACATTTAACACAGTCTTCAGTTCGACATTTATTCGTGTTATCAATTTAGTTACGTGTAAATCAGCGGATGTCTCAAATACAGATCTCTATAGAAATGCGTTTCTCGTAATAATAGAAGTGACAAGTTGTCTCAGGAACTAAACTAAAAAACAAGCACACATGTGCTATTAATTATGCTACTAACGAACACACGTGTAACGTTTGGTTAGATTTAATACATACACGAACAGCTTGGGAAATCATTATTTATTTGTTTTGCTTTACAAGTTAAACAGCGAGTTATTTACCTCCTCGGTGTAGGACTTCGGATCCCTCTTGATCAGATTTTGCAACTGCGGGAGGTTCGTCGGTAATTTGTTATTGTGACGACCCGACATTTTTGCTATTTAACTAATACTAAGTGTCAGAAAACAATGTTTATTTTGACGGCTTCGATAACTTCAGCATCAGCGTGGCTCATAAGCAGGTCGCCATGTTGCCAGAAAACTACGGAAAGCGTGAAAGGACAGTAAGTACTCGAAAGCATAGATATGAACACGTAGATGGCATGTTCGTCCGCCAGCTTGGAACGGTCAAATTCCCGGCCAAAATTAATGTATTTAGCAGCCTCGGTTTTACATTTGACGATTACTTTTGACCATTAGGAAGTGCTAGTTTATGCTTAAAAGGAAAAGCTCAAACTTACATTAAAATGAAGTCATTTCTACAAGTTTCTTTTGGGCATAAAATAAGATATTTTAATGTTGTAAACTGGTAGAGATTTTGACATCTATACTGTTATTTTCCAAGGGCGGATTTAGTGATTTCGGGGCCCTAAACAATTCCAGCGAAGGGGCCCAAAAGCTCTAAAATGCACCTTTTGTACTTATTTGTTATTATTAATTTTCATTTTTTTTCTTCAAGTATTGAAGAAATTTTAATCTACATTTTATCTGCAAAACAATAATATGTAAAGCACCTGGTAAAACTTTTGAAATTGTTTTCTTAAGATGAATTCACAACTAAACATAATAAATGAATTTATGAATAAATGAAAATTACATTTTTTTTAAAACTAAACCCTCATTCACACTACAAGCGACTCGCAGCAGCAAAGCAAGCCATCGTTAATTTCAACAAAGAGGGAGCGACTTTTGGCAACATCCGTTTACGCAAACAACAGCGATCGTTGGCGACCAGGTGGGCATGTCAAGCGACACAACAAAGTTGAGAATCCTTCAACTTTTTGCAAAAAAAAAAAAAAAGCGACTCTCTTGAGCGACAGCCAACAGGAACACCAGTAGAGCTTGTGATCCTGTCAGAGGTTGGATTTTTTTACAGTCATTGGTATAGACCAGTGGTTCTCAAACTGGTACACAGGCTTCCTTCTAGTGGTACACGGAGGAATGAAATATGCCTAGTACATGCTATACACATTTCAAAATTTATCAAAAATAATGTATATAATCTGCCATATATGACATATAGCCTATATATCCGAGGTAATCTGCAACGTTTTTTAACTTTGCAGAGTTGTAGTTGCTTTACTGGACCTACTACGCTACTGTATTTCAATACTGCTAATTTTGGTGGTACTTGGAGAGACAGTTTTTTTCTGAGGTGGTACTTGATGAAAAAAATTTGAGAACCACTGGTATAGACCTATACGCACCCCTGCGTTTGAGGCAGGTCGCCACTTTGAGCGAAGGCAGTCACTGCTAGTCTGAATGAGGCATAAATCTTTACTGATTTGACTGCTGGACTGGTCCATGATTGAAGGTAGAGGATAATTTTGAGCAGATGTAATAACGTTAAAATTAAAAATTTTACACCCTCACAGTACAAAAAGATAAAAAAACAATTTAATTTATGAGCAATTCCAACATTATAAATATGAAATTTGCAGTAAAAACTCAAAACATAAATTCACATAGACATTATATTGAAACATCTGTTTCTCCAGAACAACTGACCACAGAGTTGAAGGATCAGAAAAATATCAGTCTGTAAACATTTTTTATATTTTAAATGAGGAAAATAAACATGCGTTATGGATGTTACCAAAAAAGTCTGCGAGCACAACATACTTTGTAGAAATCCTGTCAATTAAACTGCACAACCCAAAAGAAATAATGCTAATCAAAAAGAGTCGGCTATCTTAAGAACAAAAGATGATTAATTTTATATCTTTGCATTTATGAGTCAAAAAGTGTCATTTTGGATGTGACGTCTCTCTGTTATGGATGTGAAAGATGTAAATTGCCACTTATGTTGTTTAGGTAAATGAAATATAATAGTTTGAAAACAATGACAGAGACATTTTGAGTATTTCTAAAGTACTGTGAAAAACTTTTACACAAAAAACTTAGAAACGGGTTACGTATATTGGTGAAAACATGACATTTGCATGGAATTGCTCATATAATTTCTAATATTATTTATACTTCTAGGTATTTATTTGGGGGCTCTCAGATATCCTGGGGCCCTAACCGGTCGCTTACCTTGCTCATTGGTTAAATCCACCCGTTATTTCCCTACTGTGACCTTCTTCAAAATATCTTATTGTGTTCATCACATGAAATAAATATCTGGTTTTGGTCTGCTTTAAGTGTTTAATTTCCAAAAAATAGTTTGTGTATTTGTGTGTTGGCAGTTTTGACCGCTTCAATATGGCGTGCAGCACCAACCGCTAATGAGGCATCTATGCGTATTTAGCTCTATTCTCAAAAGTTTTCAGTGCGCTGCGGCACCCGGGGGACGTTGTACTGCACGACAACCTTTATGATGTATATTTTATACAATTGATGTGTTCATATTTTTTTTCCATAAGGATAAATATTTTTCAAAGTACAATTCCAATAGTATCTGGATGCAGCCTTTAAGATGCAAGCTGAAACTGCATCACTCAAATGGAGCTATAGTGACGTCACTCTGTCGAAAAGGTTAGGAGAGGGGTTAGTTGAGCCCATTAAAAAGCATTGGGTGCAGCCAAGATTGCACTGCACCAGGTCTGCATCCAGACCCCTCTCAACAATTCACATTATTTTAATTCACTACATTAATTAACTTATAATTAATTTATTGTACATTTGTTACTCATTAACTTTAACCAATGATCAACAATGGGAGCAAAGTAAGCATTTAGGAAAATGCATAGCATAATATCAGTGATCAGTATAACTTGTTTAGTTCCCAATAATATATATAGTGGATGAAAAAAATTTTCAAACATTGATGTTGACAGATATTAGAGCTTTTAAAATATGTTATGCATCTACAAAAAAACACCTAAATATTGAAGGAAGCAATGAAAATAAAATACAATCACAATGTACAGCTTTACCTGTCATAATTTTAAAAATGACTAACCTGAATGCGTCCAAACATCACAGTAGCAACAAACACAATGATCAGATTATTTTAAAGGCTTTATATTCTTTTATTTACAAATTGCAAAATTGTCCAGTATGTAACAGCTTTTAAAACATATATCGACAGATTTCATAAGATAAATATCACACTAAAATATAACACTTTGAATTTCTTGGATCACCCCTGGCGCTCTGTGATTTCTAAAAGATTTACAAAGCAAATACTGTCTCGTATTCTGTCAAGGCAACATTTCCAGCATCATTTCATATCAAATACATCTACAAGAATCATTCTGTACCACAAAAAATAAAAAGAATTCATTTCCTTTTCTTATTTGATCCATAATCATTAAGGAATATATAAAAACTGTTTGTTTTTATACCAAAAACAACAAAAAAGATAAATTATAAAACAAATGGTCTCATAGAAGTAGTAGCAGCCAATGGTCAAGAATGTAAGCGATAAGAAAACACAAAAAAAATAAATCTGCAAGAATTGTACACGTCACTGACGTCTGGAACATCTTAAGACTTTTTTTTGTTTGTTTAGTTTTGTTCTGATGAGATAATAAAAGTATTGACGGTGTTTTGAGCTGTTATCCTGACAGCTCCTCTTCCGCCTGGAGGCAGCGCAGCACATACAGAATCACCTGATAGCAGAATATGTACTGTTCCTGAAGAGGAAAAACAGTGAAAAATGTTACATGCAAAAAGACAGCAGCGTAGACTGTTTAATGTCGATGCATGCATTATGATTGATTGATTACCTCTGTTTGTACCATGCCCTGCCTCTGGAGTCTCATGGTGCGCACAATATCTGATATGTCAAACTAATAGAAAGAAATATCAAGAATACAATATTATTATAAAAAAGGTGCAGATGCCTCATCAAAAAAAAAAAAAAAAAAAAAATATATATATATATATATATATATATATATATATATATATATATATATATATATATATATATATATATATATATATATATACCTACATAATAAATATTTATAATTTAATGTATCAATTAATGTTAATCATATGATTATATCATTAATATAATTTTACATTGAAATTAAAACATAACTTATGAAATATGAATGATATATTTGCAAAATAATAATATGAAATGCAAAACAATATATATATATATATATATATATATATATATATATATATATACATAAAATAAAATAATATATAATATAATAATACTACTACTACTAATATTATTATTATTAAAAATAATAATAATAATAATAACAATACTAGTAATATTTTATAATAATGTGAACGAATATGTAACAAAGGACTAAATGATAATAATAATAACAATAATAATAATAATAATCTAAAAAGAAAACAAACTAGATAATAAATAAATATAATGCAATAATGTAATGTGCCTACTATAAATAACAATCATATATTATTAATAATTTAATAGTATATTGCAATAAAAAATGTAAGATATTAAAAATTAATTAGAAATATATGTAAATAATATGTAATGTAAAATAATATATTCCTTTATATTAATATTGATAATAATAATAATAATAATAATAATAATAGTAAAAATTATAATTTATTATAATACAAACATAAAAAACACATTTATAATGACTACCATTAATATTAACTATATAATTATTATAATATTATAATACAATTAAAATGTAAAACATTACAAATGAATTGATATATTTGCTAAATAATAATCTAATGTAAAATAATATATTTCCTTATAATATTTTTTCAATTGTAAAAATGTTCTTTAGTATGATAATACAAAATGTTTTATAAATGTACTAAACATGATAAAATGAAGAAAAATATATATTAATAATAATAAAAACATAATAAAAAGTATGTAAATATAGCAACACCTCATTTAAATTGAATGTATCTGTTGTATGTTTAAATGTAATGTTACTTTTCCTGACGATGTTAGGTGAACACACTCTTATTTTAATGAATATTATAGTTTATTAAAACGGATTTGTTTAAGTGCACCGAAATATCTTATCTATACTTACTCAGAAATACATATAAATACACATTTTCAAAGGGGGTGTATTTATCTATGTAGTGCATTGTATATACAGCTATTATTTTTATTCACTTTATAGTTCATTTATTAATTAATTTCCCTTTGGCTTAGTCCCTTTATTTATCACAACGGAATGAACCGCCAACTTATCCAGCATATGTTTTACACAGCGGATTCCCTTCCAGCTGCAACCAAGTACTGGGAAACATCCATACACCTTTATGGTTCAATTGTAGTGTAATATTCCAGCATTTAACATAAATGTGTAAGAAAACACAAAACAATAAACAGTAAGATGATAAAAACTGAAATATATAAATAATTGAATGATGAAAGTAACTGTTGTTTATATGTTAGGTGTGACACTTACATCTGCGTCTTTGCTGATTAGTCCAAGGACCACGTCTATGCAAATGAGCGTTCCTGAGCGGCCAATGCCTGCGCTGCAGTGAGTGATGATGGGTCCTGATAGGTGGATGTGTCTCATGTAGGAGATGAATGTGAGGAGCTGTTCTGGTTGAGTGGGTGTGCCGTGATCAGGCCAGCCTGTGTAGTTCAGGTGAGTCACTCGCTGAAGCTCATTCGTCTGAAACACAGATCATTTTAGTTTACACAAATCATTTAGTTTACAGACTAGATAGATGAATAAATTCATTGATACAGATATTAGGGCTACATGAGTGTTGTGTTAGGGCTACAAGTGTAGTGTTTTTTATAATAATACTTTTCATTCATTCATTCATCCATTCATCCATTCATCTATTCATTCATTCATTCATTCATTCATTCATTCATTCATTCATTCATTCATTTATTCTTACTTGTAAAATTAATCATGATAATATTATATATATATATATATATATATATATATATATTATTGTTGTAGTTGTTGTTAATAATAATAATAATAATAATAATAATAATAATAATAATAATTGAAAATATAGTATTACATTTTATTAAAATGTACTTTATTATGATAATACAAAACGCTGCATTACACTTAAAGATGCAAGATAGATAAAAAATTAAAATGAACAACTTTCTAAATAATAAAAATAATATTAATAATATATTTAATAATTAATATAAATAACAGTTATGTTAGTACATTATATTTGTTTTTCTTTTCATATTTGCATTAGTAAAATTATTATGCAAATATGTCAATTAAATATTTTATATATTTTATTTTTATTGGAATGTAATAGGAATACCATTTTTGTATGATCAAATTTGAGTAATAATAATAGATTATTATTATCATCATTATTGTGAACAATAGTTACATTATTATATAGCATTTGCTTTCCTTTTTATATTTGCATTAGTATACTGAACTATTTTTATTTTTATTAAAACTTGAAATACCACTGTGTATGAAATGTGCTATATCATTTCATTATTATGACTCAAATTTGATACAGTACTACAAAACATGTTATTAATATTACATTGCAATTAAAATGTAATATATTAAAAATAAATTGTCATATTTGTAATGTGTGTGTACACAGATAATATGTAACAAACTAATATATACCTATTTAATAATTACAAAAATAATATAAAATTTGTATAAATATTTACTAAATTATGATTTTACAAGATGCAAGATAAATAATAACAAATAATTAAAATTATTATACAAAATTTCTTAATGATAATAATAATAATAGTAATAATATTCTAAATAATTTATTATACTAATGCTAATATAAAAAGGAAAACAAATATAAATTATTAATGAAATAATTATTCAGATTAATAATACAATTGATAATTATTTATTATCCCTTCATTATTATATTATAAATATTATTATTACTCCAATTTGATACTACAAAAATGGTATTACAATAAAAAAGTAAAGCTCATTATCATTACTTTTTGTTTTATTTTTTATTACTTAAAATAAAATAAAATAAAAGCAAAGTAATATTTCTAATTATAATATGATATAATATTAATATATTATAATACTAAAATTATAATAATATAATATTAATAAAATAATTTCCTCCAAACAATAACAATTAAAACTATGTATAACACCTTACAGCTCCTCCTATATTTCTTAATAATAATAATAATAGTAATCAAAATAATTTATTATATTAATGCAAATATAAAAAGGAAATTAAATATAATGTATTAATGTAATCATTACTCATATTATTAATATAATCATTAATTATTATCTCTCTAATATATTATAAATGTAATATTAATAAAAGCAACTCCCCCCAAGCAATATCAATTAAACCATGTACAACACCTCACACCTTTTCTTCTCTCCTCAAAGCAGCATCTATTCATAAAAACTCTCTCTCTCTCTCTCACCTGGACGTCTTTCAGCTCAATAAGTCTGATGACGAAGTTGTCCAAATGCTGATCTTTGACCAGTGTGACCTGCAGCCTGTCGTCCACCATCTGCGGCGAGCGCGGAGTATCAGGCCAATAGCGTTGACACTTGACCTTTCCTCCCTCCACCTCCTGTGTCATCATGGCGATCACGTTAGACTTCTGCTCCCACACCATCTGCCAGAAGTCCCCCAGCGTGGTGGGCAGAGGGCCCTGACAAGCGATGTACATGAAGCTCTCGTCCTTCACCGCCATCTTAATGAAGTTTGCGTTGATGTAGCCGCCGTCGTTTCCTAGGAGGACTCTGGTGGTGTCGACTGTTGGAGAAGAGGAGCGAGTTTAGTGCGAATAAATGATGGAGATGTTTGTGATGTTATATTTATCGCTGCTGTGTTTACGCACAGGGGACGATGTTCTTGTAGCGGTTTTTCTTCTTGTTTTCTTTGGTTTGGCCGATCAGGCATTCGTCCAGGGGCCGCAGGTTTTGTAGGTTCTTAGAGAGGAAATAATATGCAACATGAGTTTTTCGTTGTAATTACAACATAATTTCTTTTCATTTCCAAATTTTCATTTAAGTTAAAAAAATTATAATAAAAATAAAATTATACAGCCATTCAAATGTATATATTTTACATTTCCACTTTACATACATATAACTTTAAAAAAATAATAATAAAGTGATATTAATATTTAAATTAAATGTATTTAAAGATTCGTGAAATAATAAATGACATTTTAAAAAACTTTTTCCCCCTCAATTTTCAACACTTTTTCAAGTTATTTTTTCATTTCTATATTTGCATTTAAAATAAATAAATAAATATTTATAAATAATTATTTTAAACACGCAAATACATGCGATGATTGGTTCGGCTTAAAATGTAGAATTTGGTTGGAAGAGTAGAGTGGATTCTATGATCTAAAGCAACATGGAAAATAATATGTTGACTTTTAATGTTAGTGTGTAGTGATTGCAGCAGACTTAGAATATGTACATTCATTATTGTAAGCCTGCCATGTTTATAATTAAAAATAAATACTATATATACAGCCATTCAAAAGTATGTCATTATTATTATATATTAAAAAAATAAAATAAATAAAATAAATAAAAAATGATATATATATACAGCCATTCAAATGTATGTCACTTATATACAAATCAGAACTTTTAGCCCCCTGAATTAGTAGCCCCCCTGTTTATTAGTATTTCCCAATTTCCGTTTAACGGAAAGAAGATTTTTTTCAACACATTTCTAAACATGATAGGTTTGATAACTCATTTCGAATAACTGTTTTTATTTCATCTTTGCCATGATGACAGCACATAATATTTGTCTAGATATTTTTCAAGACACTTAAAGTGACATTTAAAGGCTTAATTAGGGTAATTAGGTTAACTAGGCAGGTTAGGGTAATTAGGCAGGTTATTGTATAACAGTGGTTTGTTTTGTAGACTAGTAAAAATAGCTTAAAGGGGCTAATGATTTTGACCTTAAAATTGTTTTTAAAAAATTAAAAACGGCTTTTATTCTAGCCGAAATAAAACCAGAATAAAAAATATTATCAGACATGCTGTGAAAAAAAAATTCCTTGCTCTGTGAAACATCATTTGGAAAATGTTTTTTTTTTAAGTATTGTTAAATATATATATATATATATATATATATATATATATATATATAGACATACTCAAAGGGGGTTTAATAATTCTGACCTCAACTGTATATTCAATTCAATTCAGCTTTATTTGTATAGCGCTTTTACAATGTAGATTGTGTCAAAGCAGCTTCACATAAATGGTCATAGTAATTGGAACAGAGAAGTTCAGTTTAGCTCAGTTCAGTGTGGTTTAAAATCATTACTGAGAGTCCAAACACTGAGGAGCAAATTCATCGATGGGTAGCTCTACCGATCCCAAACCATGCAAGCTAGAGGCGACAACAGAGAGGAAAAAAAAACTTCACCGATAGGCAAGTGAAGAAAAAAAAAAAACTTGAGATTAACCAGACTCAGTTTTATTTATATAACATTTAAAAAATATTACACAGTGATAGTAATATTTTAAATATTTATTTAAAAAGTCTTGCAATAATAAATCGCATTTTAAAACACTTTTTTTTTCAGTTCCATAATTACAACAAACTGCAATGACAAAACAAAATTTTCAGGTTTTCAAAAAAATATTTCTTATTTTTTGATATTAAAAACAGTTTTGCTGCTTAACATTGTGGTAGAAATATTATTTGATTTATTGTTTTTGTTTTGTATGTTTAATACCGCACATTTTTAATACAGCATTCCGAAATATACTGTAATATTTACACTTTCAATATTACTTTATTTTATTATGTTTAAATAATATGTAATTTTGTCTTATATTCAACATACACAAATAAAAGAACAATAATAAGAAAACATTTATTTGTATGTGTTAATGCTTCTTATGCATTCAATTACTGCATGTATTTAATCAATAATAAAGTAAAATAGTAATATTTGAAAATATTAATACACAATTGTTGTAATTAAAGAAATTTGAAAACAAATCAATTTGATGGTAATCTGATTTTCCTCCTATTATCATCATCACCATTAAAACAGTTGTGCTGCTTTTTTTTGTGCTGAATATTATTTAAATTATTGGCTTGTTTTGTAGTAATAAAACAAATAAAAATAAATAAATAAATTATAAAACATATAAAAACTATAACATTATGAAAAAACTTTATATTTATGTAACTACATTTTTAAAAATCCTCATTACCACATTTTTAAATATGTTCAAGTAAAAACATGTAAAAGTCTTAAATTTACCATAATGATAAAATAACATCAATAATAATAATAATATATAGACAATTTCAATTGAATGATACAAATAATGACTTTAATAATGCACGTTAAATTAGGTTCAGAATGAAAACAATTAGAGAAAAATAAAAAATACATTTGCTTCAGTATGTATTTAAAACAAATATTTTCTATTTATCGTTATATATTTTATTTATTACTTTTTTATTGTCCTTGCAGAACAAACGTATTCATTTCATTGATTTAGGTTCTGCATATAAAAATGTAACAAAGAAGGGTGAAAAAAGTGTTTTATTATCAAAGAAATGAGCGATTTGATCAGTGAGTAGCCTGAAAATGTGTGTACCTCAAACTCCTGCAGAGGAACTTTCTGCTCGATCAAGCCTCTCATCATGCGGACGATCGTGTTGAGGTTGGTGGACGTGTAGTGACCGTCAGGAACCACTTTAACCAGCGGCAGAGATGTCAGCTCCTCCTCAGTGACAATTGGACCATCTAAAACGCACAGAAACAGACTTATAATGACATTCCCATGTACAGATGAAGATGTCTCTGAGCTGCCAAGACTGACAAACCTTCAGTGAACTTGGAGTTGATGTTCTCTATGGGCAGATCATCACTGCCCCATGTGATCTCATCTTCATCTAGAGGACCCGACGAAGACTGAGGAGCACTAACAAGAGGATACGAGACTAGATTAGAACGAGATTTAAAGAGACAGTTGTTTTGTTCTCCTGATAATATAAAAAAGTAGATATTTTGATAAATGTTGGAAACATGTAGACAATGACTGCCATAGTATTTTTTCCCAACTATTTAAGTCAATGGTTACCCGTTTCTACATTCTTCAAAATATCTTCTTTTGTGTTCAACAGAAAAAAAGGAAACTCAAATCGACTAAATAAAAAATTCCAATAATTTATTTTAGATTATTTGATCATTTATATTTTATATATAAAATAAATTATTTAAAATGACAGATTAAATACACACTACCGGTTAAAAGTTAGGGGTCAGTTTTTTTTCTCTGTTTTTTTTTTAATATTATTTTTATTCATCAAGGCGGTATTTATTAAATATATCTAAAAAAAAAATAATAACTGCTTTCTTATTGTATGTAGTTAAATTTTTTATTACTATTATCATTAATAAAAATAACATTAATAATAATAATAATAATAATAATAATAATAATAATAATAATAATAATATAAAATAATACATTTTAGAGTGATTATTATTTTTATAAATAGAGTTATTTTATAATGCAATAACATTTTAAAATTTTACAATTTGTACTGTATTTTTGATGAAATAAATGCAGCCTTGGTGAAAAGGAGAAGCTTATTTTAAAACATTTAAAAATCCTACTGACCACAAACTTTTTACCAGTAGTGTAAATATTATTAATATTACAACTTCAAAATAAAATAAAAAAATCATTTAATAAAAATTCATTTTTAAAGATTATTTAAAGAGTATATATAAGGTTTTAAAATTAGGTTTAAATATTCATTAAAATATTAATAAATAAAGCTGTTCTCAAAGTTGAAAACTCATTTTCATTTCTAAAAAATATTTTTTTTGCAAAATTATTGCTACTACTACTACTACTACTACTACTACTACTACTACTAATAATAATAATAATAATAATAATAATAATAAAATATTTAGAGTTTTAAAATTAGGGTTTAAATATTTCAAAAATAGAATTAGTAATTAAAAATGTTCTCAATGTTAAAAAACAAATTTTCATTTCTAAAAAAATTTATTTTTAAAAGATTATTTGAAGAGTACAGACTTCTTATAAAATAATAAAATAAAATAATATATAACAGAATTTAAAAATATATATTTAGAGTTTTAAAACTAGGGTTTAAATATTAATAATATTATTAATAATTAAAAATGTTATCAATGTTGAAAACTAATTTTTATTCATTCATTCATTTTCTTTTCGGCTTAGCCTCTTTATTAAGCAGTGGTCACCACAGCGGAATGAACTGCCAACTTTTACAACTTTTACTTTTACAACTTTTATCTTTTACACATTGGATGCCTTTCCAGCTGCAACCCATCACTGGGAAACACCCATACACTCTTACATTTGAAAACTAATTTTTGTTTAGATTATTTGAAGAATGCAGACTTCTTAAAATCACTAAAAGGAAATAAAATATTTAGGGTTTTAAAATTATTGTTTAAATATTAATAATAATTTAAATTATTCTCAAATGTTAAAAACAAATTTTCATTTCTAAACATTTTTATTTATTTACAGGATACAGAATTCAATAAATAAATAAATACATAAAAATTGTAGGGGTAAATATTGGGGTCTAAATTAGGCCTGTCACAATAATCATATTATCGACTTAACAAACAACAAATGGACGTGAACTCAATCATTCATGGTGATGCAATATATATCTCCCATACATATAAACAATTTCAACAATATTTTAGCTGATTATGCAACATTTCTATCTCTATTGGAGGTGTCAGTATGGTTAAAAAAGCACCATAGTATTTACTATATATTACTTTAGTATATTTTCATATGGCTGTCAGACAAATGAGAATAAATAGCAGCTATCGCAACCTCTGTTTTTGTTTAGGATATATAATTTCACATTCTGATTCCAATGCCTGATTATTAAATTGTTAAAATGACTTTAATTGAAATATTACTAAGAATAAAATATTATTATATTGTCATTCTTTCATTGTATAATGAGTGGCATAAAATGGTCTTAAATTAACAACATTATCATTTATCGCAATATTTATTAGTGCAATATATCGAACAACAAGAATAGATATTGTGACAGGCCTAGTCAAAATAATAATTAAATACTAATAATAAATAAAACTCAATGTTGAAAACACTTGATATTTTTTGAATATTTGATAAAAAAAAGTTCAAAACAACAACAGAAATTCTGTTAAATGTTATAAAAGATATGATTGACCAATATAATGCATTAAAAAGACAGTAGTGTACATCTAAACAATATGTAATCAACACTATGAAGTGTCAAGCTGCTTGTGTAACAGTGGTGTTTTACAGACTCACCTGTCATTCAGTGGAGCATCAACGTTTTCTTCCTTCCACTCAGCCTTTCTTGACGTCTGAAAACAGAAGAGGACAACACATCTATATGATCACATCATGTACAGTAAGTCCTGGATGAGCTCTGCAGATGCTGAATCTTTTACGTGCAGATGTTTGTACCTCTGGAGAGTCTTCAGGCAGAGATGAACCGTCACAGTCTGTGTCCTCTGACAGATCAGCACTCGTGTCTGTTCCCTTCCTCTTCTCAAGAGAGCCTGTGTCATAATCTACAACACACACACAACACTCAATTACACAAAACTAAACACATACATTGCATTATTTAAAAAAAAATACATTTCTCTAGAAAATAACTACACAGGCAAAATTAACACATATTTCATTTCAGTTAGTTAAATATAACAATAGACTAACATTGAACTCAAATGAATGCTAATTATACAGACTTTATAAAATAAAATAAAAAACTTTTTAATAACTTTAAAATGAAAATGAACAAACAGTAATATTTGTTAATAATTTTAGATTAGGTTTTTAAATTATTTTATATCATTTCTTGTATTGTGTATTATTTTTGCACTAAAATAACTATCATTTAAACAAGAACAAAAAATACAACAGAAAATAAATAAATAAATATACTTAATAAATATTTGACTACCTGTATTGTATTTAATTTCCATAAAAATGCTATAATTCAAAATTCTATATTTATTGAACAATTTTGGCTGTACATATTTAAACAATAATATTTCTTAATTAATTTTCATTAGGTTTTTAATTTATTTTATATTTTATACCAGTACTTGTATTATGCATCATTGATGTACTAAAATAACTAATATACAAGAATAAACAAGTAAAATAAATACTTATAAATACTTATAAATACTTACAAATAAAAATAAACAAGAATAACAAAAATAAAAACATAAAATTAATATAAATATATTTATTTATATAAATATATAATAACAAATAAATAAATAAATATTTGATTACCTGTATTGTTTTGATTTCCTTTTCCTTACAAAAATACTTTAATATTGTAATAGAATATGGCAATTAATTAGTGTCAAATGGCTTTATATGTTCAAACAATAGTATTTTTGCAAATTAATTTAAGATTAGCTTTTTAATTTAGTTATATTTCATTTTTTTACTTGTATTGTGTTTTATTGATGTACTAAAATAACTAACATTTAAACAAGAATGAAAAAATAAAAACTGAAAATAAACTAAATAAAACAATTTTTGGTTACCTGTATTGTATTTCATTTCCTTTATAACATTTTATAATTTACAATTCTATATTTATTATACACCTATTTTGCATAAAAATACTATAATATTATAATAGTATATGGCAATTAATTAACAATAAATGGCTGTATGTATAATATATATATATATATATATATATATATATATATATATATATATTCATTCATTCATTTTCTTTTTGGCTTAGTCCCTTCTCCGGGGTCGCCACAGCGGAATGAACCGCCAGCACGTATCCAACACGTTTTTACGCAATAGATGCCCTGCCAGCTGCAACCCCATCTCTGGGACCTATGTATCTGTATCTGTCTGAATATATAAGTCTGAAACTTTCTTCTGAAATGAGCATTTTAATCAGGCTTCTGTGTGTATGTTTAATAATATCACTATTATGGCAAAGAATAGGTCCTTTTTCTGGTCTTTAAAGTGAAATATGTCAACATAGACAAAAGAGGCTGAGAAATACGGTCATTTTTGAAGGAAATTTCAGATGGCACATAGAGGTTTTTGCATCTGAACTCTTCATATATTATTTTTTTATGGTCTTAAATGCAAAAAATGTAAAAGGAAAAAAAAATAATATCGAAAAAAATACACAACATTGTGGAAATAAATATGTATTAATATATTTTAAAATATTTTAATTGAATGTTCCATAAACATTTATTATTGAAATATTTTAATAAAACATTTAGCTGAAATTTTATGGTATCAAAATTCACTTCAATATTGATGTCTTCTGTGTTGTACCTATTGGAGGGAGGGGAGGGGGGCTGCTGCTCTGGCTTTGCTCTGAAGGTGTCTGAAGTTTAGTCTTCACGCCACTGTCTTCACTCACATCTGAAACAGCACACAGCACACCTCTATATGAGGCTAAAGTTGGTTTTCTATTACCATTCACACCATTCCAACAGACATTAACATTACAACCCATCATTATAGAGGTTTTGTACCGTTGTTTCCATTAACAGTGCTGGATTTGAGAGGCAGGAAGCCCAGGTACGTGTTTGGCATTTGGTCTGGTGGACGGGACACAATGAGCTGCACCAAGCCTTTAGCTTTGCGGATGGTGGTGACGGCTTTAGCATGCGACACACCGATCATGAGATCATCATTCACCTGCACAAAAACACAACCAAAGGAAATGCTATTTACTGTGTGCCAATATGTATAGTTGAAAGCAGAAGTTTACATACACTGTACAAAAAGGGCACATTACCATTTAAAGGTCAGATGTTAATGTGACTAATTTTTTTCTCTTTTAGGTAAGTTAGGATTATCAAAGTTGTTTCTGTTATGCTTAATAGCAAAATGATAAGCGAGATATTATTGAGAAATTGTAATAACCTTTCTTGAAAGTCAAGTTTACATACAATAAGATTAGTATGCCTCTGAAAAAGCTCAGATGATGATGTCAAGGTTTTGGAAGTTTCTGATTGGCTAATTGACAACATGTGAGTTAATTGGAGGCACAACTGTAGAATAGTATTTAAAGAAAACGTCAAACACATTGCTTCCTTTTGTGACAACATGGGAAATTTAACAAGCCAGAATCATCAAAAAAAGCCAGATTACAATTTGCTAAATTACACTGGGTTTCATTTGAGTTTTCTTGGCTGTGTTTTGGATCAATGTCTTGCTGAAATGTCCACTCTGGTTTCATCTGCATCATCCTGATATTGTAAATGTTAGACTGAAGCAGCTGATTTTTATTTACAATGATGAAAGGGCAGAGGGTTGCTGAAGAACTACTGAGAGATTTCAGCTGCTCTCTGGGCTTTCGCTGCATTTCTACACCTCCCTTTCTTCATGTTTAAGACTTTTTTCCTTTCCTGTGTCATGTCATTTTATTACAAACTTCTTTTGTAAAGGAAATAGATTTGTGTTCTTTTCATATATGGATTTCTTTGGTTTTTACCAACAACTGGTAAAAATTTCAAGTCACCAGCATCTTTAGAAATATGTTTTCGGGAAAAAAATGGTGACGTGTTGTATACTTATTTCCCTCACTGTATATACAATAAATACAGTCAAGCCAAAATTATTAATAGCCCTGGGGGTATGAAAATACAAATAAAATGATTCCATGTATTTTGTTTACCTTCTGCTCAAAATGGGACATATCATAAGCTGTTAGGTATTTCGCTGACAGTTCCTAGAAATATTCTTTTGCGTCCTGAAACCTTTATTACTGGTTTCAAAAATCCATATTATGACCACTTTAAAAACTTTTATTGTACCAATTCAAAACATTATGTACCTTAAGTAAGCGATCTCCAACTTGCAGCGTGCCGGCAATGTCTGCGGTCCCTCCAGGGGTGACGGACTTCACAAAAATTCCCCTTTCTCCACCAATCACAGAGAAGCCTAGGCCTCCCGCTGGCGGCTTCTCCAACTCCAGCTTCACGATCTGCTCCTGTGAAAACATTAAACACAAAAACAAATGATGAAGAACAACTTATGAAAAGCACACTGATTACAAATGCATTCACCAATGCATTTCCTGAAAAGCAACTTAAACTCCTTTCACCTGCTCCTCATGTAACTAAAAGACTACAGAAATCTGATCTGTCTCCACTAGTTCAATTTCAAGCTTTAATTCTAAAAAATATACAATTGTATACATATAATATACAACTATAAACATAAAATATACAATTACAAAATTATAATATTATACCTGAGAGGTTTCTGTTTTGTGAAGTCTGCCTATTTAGTGATAAAACATTGAGCTAGAGCAGCACAGATCAATATTAGGTAATGGTTGACCAGGAGTTAGTTGGACAGATCTTTACCTCAGCAGGACAGATACCGGAGAGGGCCTCCAATTCATTATTCTCGCTGCTATGGAGATAACCTATGATACAAAGAGAGAAATGAGGACAGAGTACTTATTACTCAGATTACAATCACAAACGTACTGTAAACAATACTAACTAGTGCCTGAGAATCACATTAGTCACAAGTACATTATTCTTTTTATTTACTGCTTTAATTTGACAATAATTAGAGTCAAAATACATGAGTTAAATTCAATGAATGACAATTGTTTGCATTTTTTAAAGAACCGGACATACACATATTTAAAACATTAAAAGATCACTGCAACCCTATAAGCACCAACCAATTGTCATAATTCATACATTATATATATATTATTATATAAAATGGTATGAAAAATAAATTAATCACCAAAAGAATAAAAAATAAATAAATAAAAATAATAAATAAATAAAACTAAAACAAATAAATCAAATAATGACTAAATTAATTAATAAAAAATAAATAACTTAAAAATAAAATAAATTAATTAAAATAAAATAATTAATGAATTAATAAAAAATAAATAACTAAAAAATTAAATAAATACAAACAAAGAAAAAATCATTAATGACTACATGAATTAATAAAAAAATAAATAACCAAAAAGATAAAACAAATAAATATGAATAATCAAATTAATGCCTCATTAAATAAATAAATAAATAATCTTAAAAATATATATTTTTAATAAATAAATATAAATAATGACTAAATAATAAAAAATAAATAACAAAAAAAAACCCAAATTAAAATAAATAAATACAAATAAAAATTAATGACTACATGAAATAATAAAAAAGAAACTAAAAAATGTAATAAATACAAATAAATAAATCAATGACTACATGAAATATTTAAAAGTAAATAACTAAAAATAAATAAATACAAATAAATAAATGTTTGACTAAATTAATGAATTAAAAATAAATTACTAAAATAATAAAATAAATAAATACAGATAAATGACTAAAAAATAAAAGAATAATAAATAAATAAATAAATAATGCAATGTAAAATGTATTAATATATAATTTACATTTTTTTTTATAAAACAAGTCAGAATATGTATCATTTTCCCTAATGATGTGAAACATTATTTAACCACTGAAATTACACTTTAAAAATGAAACTCATGATTTCAATGCTTTCTCTGTACTGTATATAAAATCTTGTGTGTGAGTCTAGAGGAACATTTCCTGAATCTTGCTGCTGTGTAAATGGCCAATGAGAATTCAGTATGCAAATACGTCCAACAAAGGCGTAAATCAGAATATGCAAATATTATGACAACACCTTTACTGTAGGTTAAATTATAATAGAATTGCATCAGTATAAGTCAACAGACAAGTTGCGATTTATCTACATTTATTGACACGTTTTAATTGATTTTATATACATTTTTACATTTATAAACCTGAGCAAAGTTTAGTATTTACTTTATTTATATTACTATTAAGCAAAACTAAAAAAAAGGTTTTAAGGAATAATGCATTTAATTGTGCAAAAGCAACAGACATTCATGTTAATTTGAACACATCAATAACTTGTCTAATTCTTTCAGACAAAACACAAAACAATCATATTAAAATAAGTCCAGAAATCATGTGACAAAACCACAAGACTGTAATCATGAGGAATAAATGGCATTTCCGAAATATAGCAAAACAGAAACTAGCCATTTAAAACACAATCCTCCTCAGCACAAAACAACTAATCAAACACTATACATGACTAAATCTTGAGCAAAATTTTGTAGTTTATTCCTTCTTATTACACTTACCGTTCATACTCTGTGACACTTTAGGACTGATGTTATTGTTTAGTAAAGAAATCTCCTCCTCATCCGGAAAAACAGGTTTCCCATCCCTACGGAAATACACTCAGATATAGTGGTGTCCATCCAGAAGTATTGCATATATCAAATAACAGACAGACATGCAAGTGCCTTCCCAACACTTTCAGCTGAATTTCACAGCATTTTCCCAAAAAGTTTCCCCTCTAGTCCAAATACCCTGACTTTGACTGACTAGAAAGGTGAAATCACAATCGCAATATTACAGTATATATATATATATATATAAAAATATACACACACACACACATATATATGCGCATATACACACACACACAGCTCTCCAGGAACAGGGTTGGTGACCCCTGCTTTACATAATCAATTGCTTTTTAGAATTACTTCTTACAATTATCAGATAATATGACATGCTGTGTGCACTTCATTGTGCTCACAAACCATTCAAGTGACCTCCATTTCTCAGGTGAGTGAAATTCTTCTAAACTTATACAGTATAACATCTCTATAAATGTATTTGTTTTATTTAAGAACATTTATCATTTGTAATTTCCTTTAGATCTCGAATGCATCTGTTTAACAGAGTTCAGATGCAAAAGCCGCTAAACGCCACTTCTGCCAAAAATTAGCTGACAACACTGAGCGGATGTTTTAGGCATGTAGTATACGGTCAACAAATAGATTTGCTTCAGATCATCTAAATCCAAGCTTCAGCTTATTCAGAAACAGTTTGTTTGTAAAAGCCGCTAAATGCCACTTGCCTTTGACAGCAAAAGCCGCTATATCCCAAGAACCAATCAGGAGGCGTGAATAGAATCATGTGTTTTCAATGTACGCCACTTTCATAAGAAGACTGTTTCATTCTGCTTCTGATTTACATTTTAAAAGATAAATTAGATGAGCCTGACCCACTGTCAGTGACAGGCAAATGAAAAAAATCCCTATAAGAAAAAGAAAACCCACTGTACAGTCGGAAGTGTAACATCAATCCATAACGTTTTTTGCGCAGCGACACTACTTTGAAGAAGTCGAATATACTTTACATTAAACAAAATTTACATTTCCTGAAAGACAAGGATAAGATGCCGTTCTTGTATTCCACGTGGATGCTATGAGGATAAACAAGAGACGAAAAAGAGACCTTGAGTTTTGTGAGAAAGAATGAATGACAGCTTCTAAGTGTCTGAGACACTCCCTTTTTGCCCAGTAGTCCTACCTTGCATTTTATTTGCTAATGTAAGCTATTTTTAAAATATAAATATAATGTATATAACTATACCTTATTTATATTACGTCATATTACCTATACGTCTGATAAGCTTTATCAGATATTAGATATTAATGGACAATACACAGATATTGAGGTTTCACAGTGTTTTTACTCTACATTATTTGAATCTAACAAGTGAGTAGTTTGCAATGTTTACATTGTTCTACTTGATTAAATCTAAATTCCAAAAATCAGAAATGACAACAGACTGTTAAGATTTTCATTCATTCATTCATTTTCTTGTCGGCTTAGTCCCTTTATTAATCCAGGGTCGCCACAGCGGAATGAACCGCCAACTTATCCAGCAAGTTTTTACGCAGCGGATGCCCTTCCAGCCGCAACCCATCTCTGGGAAACATCCACACACACTTTCACACACACACTCATACACTACGGACAATTTAGCCTATACCCAATTCACCTGTACCACATGTCTTTGGACTGTGGGGGAAACCGGAGCACACAGAGGAAACCCACGCGAAGGCAGGGAGAACATGCAAACTCCACACAGAGACGCCAACTGAGCCGAGGTTCGAACCAGCGACCTTCTTGCTGTGAGGCGACAGCACTACCTACTGCGCCACTGCCTCGCCCTCTGTTAAGATTTTATAAATGTCAATTAATTTTTTGTTATTGATTAATGCACTCCCTTGACAGATTTTATTTATTGATTTTCCTTCTGCTTTGTCCGTGGTTTATCAGGGGCTACCACAGCGTAATGAACTGCTACTTATCGATTTATATATTTTAAATTTACGGTGGATTGTGTTATGTGTTTTTTATTTGGTAAAATAATTTCTAATTGCATCTTTAGTGATTTTTCATTTAATAAGTGGATTTAGAGGTTTTTGCAAAAACAGCACAAGTGGATTTAGCTGGTTTTGACGCAAAAGAAAATCTACCTTGATAAAAAACAAAGAATTGTCATTTGACATTTTTGAAAACAAGGTATTTTATTTAATAGCTAATTACCTTTTCATTAACTATAAAATGAAACTACTGAACCTAATTAGAGCCTGATAGAAAATACTATATAGTTGAAGAAGAATTATTAGCCCCCCTTTGAATTTAATTTAATTTTTTAAATATTTCCCTAATTATGTTCAACAGAGCAAGGACATTTTCACAGTATGTTTGATAATATTTTTTTCTTCTGGAGAAAGTCTTATTTGTTTTACTTCGGCTAGAACAAAAGCAGTTTTTATTTTTTAAAAACCATTTTAGGGACAAAATTATAAGCCCCTTTAAGCTAAATTTTTTATATAGTCTATGCTTAAACAATTGTTATACAATAACTTGCCTAATTACTCTAACCTGCCTAGTTAACCTAATTAACCTAGTAAAGCCTTTAAATGTCACTTTAAGCTGTATAGAAGTGTCTAGAAAAATATCTAGTCAAATATTATTTCCTGTTATCATGCCAAAGATAAGAGAAATCAGTTATTAGAAATGAGCTATTAAAAACACTATGTTTAGAAATGTGTTGAAAGAATCTTCTCTCCGTTAAACAGAAATTGGGGAAAAAATAAACAGGAGGGCTGATAATTCAGGGGGCAAATAATTCTGACTTCAACTGTATATAATATTTGAAATAAGCCTTTTAAATTGCATGATATTCCACAAATCCATGACCCGAGGGAACCCAGATTTCCACAAACATAATCTGCTCACCTGGTGGCTTTGAGACTCAGATTCCTCAAGGAAAGCTGCAGGAGTCTGCGGCTCTCGCTCAGTGTCAGATCCTGCGTCGGGACGCCATTAATGTAATGTATGATATCCAAATGTCTCAGACTGCCTTCCTCAAAAGCTGCAGATCCCGGGAAGATTTCCTTCACGTACAACACACCCAACGCACTGTCACTTCCTCCATCCAGAACCAGACCTACAAGAGACGCCCAGAAAGCAAACACTTTTTTTAAGCAACCAAGCTGCGCTAACCATAACAGCACCACAGCCTTTGTGTTTCTGTCGCCTTTTTTTTTCTTTCCTGTTAGCGAGCTGAAATGTGATCCTCTTATCTAGCCTGTCGTCTAACCTCTTGAGCTCATTTTTCCAGTGAAACGCAGGTGGGATTTGTTTACGCTGACGGGTATCTGTTTTTCGGGTGATCTTGTAAAGCCCTGTTGACCTCTGACAGTCAGATAGATAACACTAAAACCGGACATGGGAGGATTTCTGGGAGTTTTTCCGAGAACACTGAATGCTATTGAGTGCTAAAAGGGATCGGTTACAGTGTACATGGATATTTTCCATTACCCAGAGACTCGTCGTGACACTGAAACGTGATGTCAGGGAGGAGGTGGGCCTCGATTGGTGGTTTTGGAGGCTCTAGGATGCGGCCCACCACCAGATCCACTACTTTAGGAGCCGCTCGCACCAGGTTGACCACTTCTGTGTGATTCATGCCAGAAACATCTGTGTTGTTCACCTGAAAACAGAGGAAGAGGAGATATGATGCAGAGCAAAATCATAGTTTTGTAGTTTGTAGGTTTTGCGTGTTAGATGGATTTTTGTACAGCATCACAATGTCTCTCTTATTAATACTAGTTATTAAATAGTAAATCACCTATGATGATTAATTAATAGGCACCTATGATAAAAATTTACTTTTGAAAGCTGTTTGGACAGAACTGTGTGTAGATATAGTGTGTTCACAGTCGTATTGGGGTGATATAAAGATATTAAATCCTTTTTGTTTTAATTTCCTTACATTAAAATAGGATCCAAATCCCTCCTATTTTGAGGCCCACCGCAAAGTGATGTAGAAGTGCGGTTTCCCCTGCTCACTGAATTAATTGACAGCCGCATAATAACATGTCTTAGTAGTAACGGGTATAAATATATCCACAAGACAAGACATGCATAAAACAACTGGGAATAAAAGATCTGTTTCGACTCTCTGTGATCATCTGCAGCTTATTTTTGTAATAAAGAAATGATAGTAAAATCGCTGTGTAATTCATCACCACAGCCACATGTCAGTACAATTATAACAGTAGAAGCTTCAATCCTGGTTTGTAGACTAAAATCAGGTTTATTTTATACATTAACATGACGGATATCGATACAGCAGTGTTTATTAATGTATATCCTGTCACATTTGCCATGCAAAATAGTGTAAAGTTAAACATATCCATGCATGTGTGTGTTAATAACTAATTTCTAATAGCTGATTTAGATTATCTTTGACTTGATGACAGTAAATAATATTTGACTAAATATTTTTATTCACTAGTATTTAGTTTAAAGTGACTTTTAAAGGCTAAACTAGGTTAATTTGGTTAACAAGGCAGGTTAGGGTACACTGAAAAATAATATTCAAAGATGACTCCTTGGATTTACTCGATTTTTTTACGTTAAGTGGTTGTAAACTATTTACTTGGGATGAATTTAAACAAACAAATTAAGTTGAACATTATTTAATTAAATTTGTTTGTTTAAATTCAACACAAATAAATTGTTTGCAACAGTTCTTTTTCAGTGTAATTAGGCAAGTTATTGTATAATGATAGCTTGTTATGCACTACCGAAAAAAAGGGGTTAATAATTATAAATACAAAATTAAAGCTGCAAGCAGCGATGATAGGGACCTCGCACCCGGGCTCACCGCCGCCCGGTGGCCTCAGTATGACAGAAAACAGCGAACAATAATATTTTAAGCCGTTATATATAAAAAACCTCAGAAAATCACAGATTTATGCCAAACTTCCTCCTGTCAGCAGGTGGCGCTATGACTGTGACTCAATATTGGTATGTAGATGCCTTCAATGCAGGAATCTTAACAATCATGTGAAGTTTCAGACAGATCAGGCATTGTGTGGCTGAGTTATAAGCCAAACTACCTTTTGCCAGCAGGTGGCGCTATGACAGACTGATTATTGACATGTGGATCTGTTCAGGAGAGGAATCTTATCAACCATGTGAATTTTCAGGCAGATCAAACATTGTTTGGCTGAGTTTAAAGTAATTTCATGTTGCCAGTAGGTGGCGCTATGACTGTGATTCAATATTGCAATGTTGAAGTCTTCAGGAGAGGAATTTAATCAACCATGTGAAGTTTCAGGTGGATCGTACATTGTGTGGCTGAGTTATAAAACAAACTACCTTCTGACAGCAGGTGGCGCTATGACTGACTCAATATTGGTATGTAATCGTGTTCAGGAGAGGACTTTTATCAACTATGTGAAGTTTCAGGCAGATCAGACATTGTGTGGTTGAGTTATAACGACTTCCTGTTCAATGGCGAAGCGTTGAGGTTTGTCATGCCGCCACGGACACGCCCCTCTGCGAAAACTCTAGATCTTCACAATATATCATCGCTAGAGCTTTGAAATGACACCCCTCAAATTTGGTGCTGATACGATAAAGTTTGTAGGAGTTTGTTACAGTGTAAAACATGTCATTTCCTGTGGCCAGCAGGTGGCGCTATTACTGTATCTGGACATCGGCATGTAAACATGTTCAGGTCATGAATGTTATCAGAGGTGTGAATTTTGAGGCAGATCGGATAATGCATGCCTGAGTTATAATAAGTTCCTGTTTTGTGGCGAGTCATCAAAGTTTGTGAGGCCGCCACGGACACGCCCATCGACATAAACTCTAAAGCTTCGCAATTTAACATCGCCAAGGCCTTTAGATGACAAAACCCAATTTTGGTGTCGATTGGATAAAATCCCTAGGAGGAGTTCGTTAAAATACAACGCCTGGAAATGGCAAAAACGCCACTTTTTCGCCGAAGGAAGTTAATAATATCTGACTTCCTGTTGGGTTTGAGATATGGCTCCAAGAGACTTTTTCGTATGTTTTGGCGTGTTTGAGGTGTGTGCCAATTTTCGTGCATGTGCATGATTCGTAGCTCTGGGGCTCGTCCGTTTAATTTTTGTAGGTGGCGCTGTGGAGTCATTTTGCCACGCCCACTTCAATATTGTTATGGGGATGTGTTCAGGAGAGGACTTTTATCAACCATGTGAAGTTTCAGGCAGATCGGACATTGTGTGGTTGAGTTATAAGGACTTCCTGTTCCATGGCGAAGCGTTGAGCCTTGTCATGCCGCCATGGACACGCCCCTCTGCGAAAACTCTAGATCTTCACAATATATCATCGCTAGAGCTTTCAGATAACACCACACAAATTTGGTGCTGATACGATAAAATTTGTGGGAGTTAGTTTGGTTCAGTGTAAAACATGTCATTTCCTGTGGCCAGCAGGTGGCGCTATAACTATATCTGGATATTGGCATGTAAATGTGTTCAGGTCAGGACTCTTATTAAACGTGTGAATTTTGAGGCAGATCGGGTGATGCATGCATGAGTTATAACGACTTCCTGTTTTGTGGCGAATCATCAAAGTTTGTGAGGCCGCCACGGACACACCCATTGACGAAAACTCTAAAGCTTCGCAATTTAACATCGCCAAGTCCTTTAGATGATAAAACCCAATTTTGGTGTCGATCGGATAAAATCCCTAGGAGGAGTTCGTTAAAATACAACGCCTGGAAATGGCAAAAACGCCACTTTTTCGCCGCAGGAAGTCAAAAATATCCGACTTCCTGTTGGGTTTGAGATATGGCTCCAAGAGACTTTTTCGTATGTTTTGGTGTGTTTGAGGTGTGTGCTAATTTTCGTGCATGTGCGTGATTCGTATATCGGGGGCTCGTCCGTTTAATTTTTCTAGGTGGCGCTGTCGAGTCATTTTGCCACGCCCACTTCCGAAGCCCATAACAAACGTAAATTTTCGCCACTTCTGAGGCGTGTGCAAAGTTGCGTGAGTTTTCGGGCATGTTTAGCCCCTCAAAACCGCGATTCATTCCGCGGAAGAAGAAGAAGAAGAAGAATTAAAGCTGCAAGCAGCGATGATAGGGACCTCGCACCCGGGCTCACCGCCGCCCGGTGGCATCAGGATGACAGAGAACAGCGAACAGTAATAATTTAAGCCGATATATTAAAAATATCTGAGAAAATCACAGATCTATGCCAAACTTCCTCCTGTCAGCAAGTGGCGCTATAACTGTGACTCATGATTGGCATGTAGATGTCTTCAGGAGAGGAAACTTATCAACCATGTGAAGTTTTAGGCAGATCGGACATTGTTTGGCTGAGTTATGAGCCAAACTGCCTTTTGTCAGCAGGTGGCGCTAAGACAGACTCAATGTTGTTATGTAGATGTGTTCAGGGGGTGACTTTTATTAACCTTGTGATGTTTCAGGCAGATCGGAGTTTGTGTGGTTGAGTTATAAGCCAATCTACCTTCTGCCAGCAGGTGGCGCTATGACTGACTCAATATTGTTATGTAGATGTGTTCAGGAGAGGACTTTTATCAATCATGTGAAGTTTTAGGCAGATCAGACATTGTGTGGTGTAGTTATAAGGACTTCCTGTTCCATGGCGAAGCGTTGAGGTTTGTCATGCCACCACAGACACGCCCCTCTGCAAAAACTCTAGATCTTCACAATATATCATCGCTAGAGCTTTCAGATGACACCACTCAATTTGGTGCTGATACGGGAAAGTTTGTGGAAGGAGTTTGTTACAGTGTCAAACATGTCATTTCCTGTAGCCAGCAGGTGGCGCTATAACTGTAACTGGATATCGGCACGTAAACCTGTTCAGGTCAGGACTGTTATTAAATGTGTGAATTTTGAGGCAGATCGAATGATGCATGCCTGAGTTATAACGACTTCCTGTTTTGTGGCGAATCATCAACGTTTGCGAGGCTGCCACGGACACAGCCATCGATGAAAACTCTAAAGCTTCGCAATTTAACATCACCAAGGCTTTAAGATGGCAAAACCCAATTTTGGTGTCAATCAGATAAAATCCCTAGGAGGAGTTAGTTAAAATACAACGCCTAGAAATGGCAAAAGAGCCACTTTTTAGCCGCAGGAAGTTAAAAATATCCGACTTCCTGTTGAGTTTGAGATATGGCTCCAAGAGACTTTTTCATATGTTTTGGCATGTTTGAGGTGTGTGCCAATTTTTGTGCATGTGCGTGATTTGTAGATCGGGGGCTCGTCCGTTTAATTTTTATATGTATTCAGGAGAGGAATTTAATTAACCATGTGAAGTTTCAGGCTGATCGGAATTTGTGTGGTTAAGTTTTAAGGACTTCATGTTTCATGGCGAAGCGTTGAGGTTTGTCATGCCACCACAAACACGCCCCTCTGCGAAAACTCTAGATCTTCACAATATATCATCGCTAAAGCTTTCAGATAACAACCAACCAAATTTGGTGCTGACACGAAAAAATTTGTGGGATGAGTTTATTACTCTGTAAATCATGACATTTCCTGTGGCCAGCAGGTGGCGCTATAACTGCAACTGGATTTTGGCATGTTCTGGTCTGGACTTATATTAAACATGTGAATTTTGAGGCAGATCGGATAATGCATGCCTGAGATATAATGACTTCCGGTTTTGTGGCGAATCAAAG